ATTAGGGCTTGCATGCAACACAACAGTTGAATGTAAATACACGAATGAAAGGAGAAAAAATGATTTATGTTCATATGTTGATCAATAATAATAATCTAGAAACTAGCGGAACAAATTGCTTTTATTATTATTATTACTATTGTTATTATTATAAATTCTACGTCTTTTTATATTTCTTTTTCAATGGCTATTCATGTGAGAAGGGAACGACGCTGGATAATAATAATAATTTGCTTTATTCCAAAACAGTACTTGTGATACAGAATGGAATTCTCAGCATTTTTTACTATAGTATTGCATCCAGTTAGTACATTATCAATAAATAGAATTCTACATAGATTGAGGAAACCACAGTTCATTATTACAAGAATACATTGGCATGTCAGTAGCAAAGGTAAAGCTGAAACAGTGTTTGAAGGTGTTAGAAAAGTGGGAGCTGTCTTATTAACTGGCGTAAGCGAGAAAAAGAAACAAAGCAGCACATAACGGAAAAAGAAGAGACAGAAAAGGAAAAGAAAGAAAGAAAATGTTGTACCTATTGATGATGTGGGTTGGAAAGACGAGATCCAGTTGTTCTACTGACTATTTAATGAGTTATAGATATCACGCCTAATGCTTTCTTTATCACACAGAACACGAGCTAAGTAGGGTATGGTTGAGTTTTTGTACTTGCTGGTGCGAGCATATAGTTTTCTATATTGGCTTCTGGTTTTACCTGATGAGATGCAGGGGGAGAGTTGTGAGTGAAGAGGGTGGTGTGAGTTAGATAAAATGGACTTAGCCCATTTTTCACATGAGTCCATGTGCCTGTCAACCAGAATATTAGCAAGCTGGTTATGTGGCACGTTGCTCACCCTGCTGACAACATTTAACATCCTGCGTAATATGTTATAGTCTTTCTTCAGTAGCCCAGGAAAAACTAAGGGGGAACAATAGAGAATAATAGGCAGGATGCGAGAATTAACGAATTGTAGGAGTAAGGGTTGGGTAATACCAGAATGTTTCAACTTCTTGATACAGAAGGTAAGACGGAATATTTTCTTGGAAATTGCTAAGATATGAGACGACCAGGAGAGATCAGCAGATAAAATGACACCTAGGTATTTCATTTCCGATTTAGTTTCTATTTCAGTGCCGTCTGTGTTGCATACCTCGTGAGAGCCAACCAGTTTGTTTAGGTCGGATTTATGCCTAAAGGTGAAATTGACTGTTTGGCATTTGGAGGGGTTTAGGGTAAGACCGTTTTCCTCGGACCACTGACTGAGGGGGGACTTCGGTTTCATTGAGTACAACAGAGGATGAATTACCTGTGTATACGGTGCACTGCATTCTGTTAGAGAAGTAGGAATGCAGCCAGTTAGTGACCCAGGACTCAGTTTTTGTCAAAGAGAGCTTATTTAGCAGGAGACATCTAGGTACAGAGTCGAAAGCAGAAGTGAAGTCAAGAAACGTGCAGCGGACGTATTTGGCTCCTTTATCTAATGATGAGATGATGTTGTTGTGTAAGACAGCTGCAGCGTCTAATGTACTCCCACCCTGTCTATAGGCGAATTGTTTGGGGTCTTCGAAGTTTTTAAGGGAGGGTTCAAGTTTAAGAAGTATTAGTTTTTCCATAAGCTTTAGAAACGGGGAAGTGATGGCAATGGGTCTGAGTTTTACGTTCTTTCCGTTTCCAGGTTTAGGGACAGGGACAATTTTGATGTCTTTCCATGCATCAGGTACGATATTTTCGGAGAAAGAAGCATTTAGGATGCTGGTTAGTGGAGAACACAACACATCTGCACATTGTTTTAGAACATAGGCAGGTATACCATCAGCACCAAGGCTACGTGAGGGTTTGAGCATTTTGAGACATTTTAGAACATCGAGAGTATTAAAGTCATGAAAGTTTTCAGCTACATGATAGGTAACATTAGAAGTAGTTAAAGTAGAAGGACAGCGTATAAAAGACTGATTAAGAGCATTAACATCATAAGAGGGAAAAGCATTACAACGCTTACTATTACCAGTAATTTCATTAAAAAGTTTCCACATGCTGATTGGAGATTTACATGATAAAAGTGTATCATTATAGATAGCATTAAGATTTTTGATTTCAGATTTGATCTGAGCAGTGGTAGTGCGGAATGTAGCAAAGAAACAGGAGACACTTAGCTTTTCTTATAATTTAGATTGTATATTACAGTAGAACTTTGTTTGCATTCAAAATTTTGTGAGATGTAGTTGAAAGTGGCTGGCAAAGAGCTATTTATCTATCTTTCTCGTCCTTGCTGATATTCTTTACTACGGTGTATCTCAATTTCGAAGGAACTAATGTCCACTGAGAGGGACGAATCCAATTCATCCACTGATGGAGTCAAAGACTCGACGGATGAG